AAATGTCGACAATGTGAATCAAAAATATTACGAAGCGATGTAAGATATCTTTTCGTAGTTAAAAAGGAAATATATCTTTTGTATAGATGCTACTTGATCGAGGCTTCAAAATTGACATGAAATCACTACCCATTGATTGTTCTTTTTGTCAATGGACTGGTATCTTAAGTAACTATCAAGTAATTTATGATATATTTATTTTATTCAAGAGTTTATTTTCCTTTTCTTCTTAAGGAACATATTGATCAATCTCATTCATATCTCAGATGCGAATATTGTGACGAAGAGTTCAACTCAGTTAACAAATTCAATCAACATAAAGTCTTCGAATGTCAACAAATCATTTTTGATTGTATATTGAAAGACTTTGGTTGTTCTGGACGAGTATGAATATTCTATAAATAAAGCTGACATCGAAATATGTATGTTCTTTAGATTATACGTGCCAAAATACAAGATCATTATTTGACTGAACAACATCAACATGCCATACTCAATGTTGTTCGTCAAACATTATCACAATTAAAAGACAGACAAGTGAATGTTGATCTTCCTCGAACAACAACTGCAAGAGCTTGTAATTCGACTACGGCACAATTCGAAGAGCTGTATGAAATGCTCACTATCTTAGTAGGTGGTATTGAGACATTAACCAATGATGACCAACGCCTAGCCGATGAGTCCCTACAAATACAAATGGCACTTTCAACATTAACAGAAGAACTGTCGAAAGTTAAATTATCTATTGAAGAGTCAAATATTTTTTGGAAAGGAGTACATCTTAATCAAGACATTCTCAATCAAGATCTATCATCACTACAAGTAAAAGTCAACGATTTACAATGTGTTTCATATGATGGGATATTGGTTTGGAAAATAGCAAGCTTTCAAAAGAAAATGAGTAAATTGAACAATTAATCTTATGCTTGACGATAAAAATAGAAAATCTGATCGAAAAGATAATCAAAGTATAACATGTTATTCGCTTTTCTATAAGATCGACAAATATGTAATACATATCATCGAACGTTATATACAGTATAATATATTCTTCTCCACGCAAAACATGTTGAGTTACCTATTGATGAATTAACGAAACGATTCATCAATGCTATCGATCCGCGAAATTTCTTTATAACTGCTTGAGTCGTCTTCAATTGTTCCTCCTCTCCGCCCCCACTAAGCCTGATCAATAGATGACAGTGAGGAAATATAGATGAATGATTTTAACACCGTTGACAATCATAGCAATGTTGTCAAAAGTACTCGCAATAAACTTCAGTAACCGTCAAGACAAAAATCTACTGAATGGCATTAGAAATAAGATTTGAGTAATTCGAGAAAAATTTTAAACCTTTCTTCGAAAATGAAATAGCTGGAATACGTTTCTGGATTTTCTAAATAGCGCAGTTTTTCATTTGTGTACAAATCACCAGTTATATTCAAGGTATTATAGATAATGGCTAGTGATGTATAAATTTGTTACAGTTATTATTATATGACCAAAACTACATGTATTAACATGTTATAGACATAACTCATGTGCACAACAGGCTTATATGTTATTTAAAAAGACGCTTAGAATAAAGATTATAGTAATTTAAGAAAAACGAACCAAAAAAAAAAAAAGAAAATAAATAGCGAATGAATAGTAACAATATCAATTAAAAATAGAGTGAGCATAAGAAAAATTCTTTGAAATGTAGAGATAAATAAAAGGGATCGTTTTCTTGGTGATTAATAATCTTTGGAAAACCACTTTAGTCTGTTAGATGTTGTTCACTTAACTGGTTTTGTATTAGTAGAAAGAAGCTGAGAAAAGATATGTGAGTCCCACACTTTACTCTTAAATAGGTGGCACTGACAATTTTTTTAGCTTAATTTCTAGTTGATGCACAATCTGAAAGACAAACATCAATTTATTCTCCTCCATTTTATTCATCTCCAAATGGGTATAAAATGAGAGCTCGTCTTTACTTAAATGGTGATGGAAATGCTCGTCATACACATATGTCACTCTTTTTTGTACTCATGAGAGGTTTAAATGATCCAATTCTCAAATTTCCATTCAATTATACGGTGATATTTTGTTTGTATGATCAAACTCCTCAACAACGACATATCATCGATTCATTTCGACCAGATATTAAATCGAATAGTTTTCAGCGACCTCGATCGGATATGAATATAGCTAGTGGTATACCAAAATTTTTCCCATTAGAAGTGATTCAACAGGAAGGAAATCCGTATGTCAGAGACGATACAATGTTTATCAAAATTATGGTTAATTTTGAAGAAACACCTAAAACATTATTATCCTATGTTGTGAGTCTCAATCCAGGTCTACCAATGCATATTCAACAAGCAATGATTAAACAAGAAGCTGAACGAAGAATGCAATTACAATCTGGCGACCAACTACAGATACCTTAAAGATGGCCTGGTATTTAATTTATATCAAATGTTAAATCAATAGTCAAGAGTACCTGTTTTGAGTTTGTAAAATTTTTTACAGTATAAAGTATAAACCAGATATCACTTTAAGCTTTTCCTGGTTTTTTATAACTAGGCAAATCTTACTGATCGTCTGTATAAGTTGAAGTCATTTCATTGTCTGATAACAAAAATTTGTACTGAAACGAAATTTAGTTTTAAATAATCACTATTCAGATAGTTTTTCGAAAATTTTTCAAAAATTAATAAATATACATCATTTTTTCGTCTTCATTTAAGAAAAAAATATTAGCATTGAAACGAAAAGTCTACACTACTTTCTTGAAAAATATTCAACTTGTATTTACATTTTGGAGGAAACTGTCTGTTTATTGTTAACATTTAATAATTCATCGTACAAATATTTAATGATATGTTAAGTCTAATACAAATATAAATGTACTCTATTATTGAGTGACATTATATTTAATACTGAAATAATACAAATAACGCTCGTCAGCATGACTTGCTTGACCCTCGACTGAATGATTAGCTGCTATCTAGGTTTGTTGGGTGTGGGTGTGGCTATGGTTGGGTGTGGGTATGAAAGTCTTTAC